TTGGGAGTCCTTGCACGGGCTGGTCACCCGGGACCCGGGCGGCCCGACTGGTAGCCTAGGTATGTGGTTTAAATGTTTATCTGTCGATAATGCATCTTCTCGTCATAGCGCAGAGATTCATTATCGATGGGAAAACATTCAATCAACATGCCCGATAACTGGCGGCGGGGAAGAGAGAGAGAGAGGGCGAGTCTGTCGCACTGCCTCGCCTTGGGTGTTGACTCCCTTTCTCTCTCTCTGTCTCTGTCTCTTTTTCTCTTTCTTTTTTTTTTTTCTTTTTTTTTTTTTTTCGCTTCTCTCTCCCCCTCTACCTCCCACCCGTTTCAATTTTTTTTTTTTGGATTTTTATTTTTTTATAATGAGTTTGTTGTTGTTGTTGTTATTGTTGTTTAATTTTATTTTAAGAACGTCAATCGTGCTACCGATAGCACGAGCCTCAGCAAGGCTCGACATACCGGTAGCGGGAGAGCCGGACTTAATAGTTGGGAAAGGTACTTGTGGTTTAAGACTAAAAAATAATCGTCGCACCGATTCGGTGCATTTTCCAATTTTGGGACTCAACCATTGATGAGCCAACAAAAAGGTACTCAAACTTCAGTAATTATTATTATTATTATTATTATTATTATTATTATTATTATTATTACTTTTAGAGAGTCGGGAACTAGGTTTGCCATCCCTTATATTTAAAAAAGCCAGTAATCGAGCTTTGTGTCCCTCACGAAAGGTAGGCGGTCCCATTTGAGGGTGAGTCATCACCGGTCAAGCCTGAGGATCGGACCACTAACACTCATCAATCCAAAACGCAAAGCATATAAAACGTACCAATTTTTCATGATGGGATACCATTAACACTTTGTTAGTCATCAAAGGAGTATCAAAGGCCTAATAAACCTTTGTGTGGAAAAACTTGAAAATATGAGAGCTCATAAATTTTATTGTGGTCTTTCCATGAAAGATATTAAATATATCAAATAAAATTATTTCAACCGCAACATAGATCGTGGGAGCAATTTAACAATTTTTCATTTTTGTCATCCATCCTTTTTTTTTTTCTTTTTTTTTTTTATCTCTTTCCCTCTCCCTCTCTCTCGCGCGCGCGTGTGCACGGGCCTTCGAGCGAGAGTGCTCTTAGCCCCATTAGTTTCACTCATTGGATCAGACGCACAATTCACAACCTTAAGGTCACATTGTAGCGGGTTCGAACATCTGTATTTGCAAACACAAAAATTGCACCAAAAGAGAATGCATTAGCCCGTCCTTAAGCTTTTTTTTTCTCCCTTTTAAAAAAATATAAATAGAAATATATCACAACCCCTCGTTTGTTGTCCTCTTCTCCCTCTCTGCCTACGGTTTACCGGACAGTTTTATTTGACGATATATACTACGACTTCGCTAGCTTCCTGCTACGGTTTTCTCCGGTCAGGTCGAGCGGTAGTGATCGGGGCCGTCACTACGCGGCCATGCTGTGCCTCTAGTGCCAGCGGCGTGTCTGGAGTGTATTTTTTGGCTGTGACAGACCTTTCTTTGTTTCGTGGGTGTTTTGCTGGCTTGTGATGGGGTGTGAACCGACAGTCTGTAGAGTTTTCCATCTGGTGTGGGTGAGTGATAGTCTACTTTGATTTTGGTTAAGGTGGATTATCACTTACAGTGTAATCAGTGAGGGGATTCTACAGACTGTTGAGGGTTCAGCCTCCTGATGAGTTGGTGAAACTCCGACGAAACAGTTTGTCACAGCCCCTCGTTTGTTGTCCTCTTCTCCCTCTCTGCCTATGGTTTACCGGGCAGTTCTATTTGACGATATATATATATAAACAAGGTCACCAACCCGTACGTACAGAGGTCCCTGGGCCGGGGTCCGAACCCGAAGGCGCTCGACCCCCGCCAAAAATTATTTCGTGGCCTAAAATATATATATATATATATCGCTATAGATGGCGGTGTCAAAACATGTTTACACACGCGTTATTTTGTTTTTTTTTTCATTTTTTATTTTTTGTTTTCACTTTATTGCGAGGCCTAAACAATCTTACTGATTTTTTTTTTTTTTTTAATGCGTTTTGTATTATGTGAAGTACACATCTGTAAAATTTTCAGGGCATTGGATTGTGCAAAAAAAACACAAAAAATCGTCAAAGATGACGGTGTCGAAAACGTGCTAGCTCACTCAAGGGTCGAATGAGAACCGAAAAAATAATGATCGCAATTGTTAACTGGAATTTTTCCCAAGAATTCTCACTCACACGGTCATTAAAACAAGACTGCCCACTAATCCCTGTTTTATTTACTATTCGGATGAAAGGGTTGTTGAACAACATACGTGCAAACACACAGATCATCAAGGGTTTTTCAGTTGACCCGAACCAATACAAAACCAAATCCTTAGTTTATGATCCATTTGTTGTAGTTGAGAGCACACCATAATCCCTGGGGGGCCTAAAATGTTGTCTGGATGACTATTCAGAGCTCTCGGAGATTGCGGTGAACTGACATAAATCGGTGTTTTTTCTACCAGTCTCATTTGTAATGTCAGTCCGATGGGGCATACGTGCATAAATGAGGATCAGTCTGAGCGTTTTCTTGGAATTTAAATCTCCATACTGTCATGCATCGGAGACCAAAACAATCTGTTACTAAAGAAACTGCTACACATAGTGACTATGTGGGAAAAAACACCTCACATGTCTTTATTTGGTAGGAGTATGGTTATTAACGGAGCCCTGTTTATATTGTTGTGGTTTGTGGGCATCGTGAGAGGATTTAGAAAATAATTATATAACTTAATAAAACGCAGGACAACAAAATTATTATGGAAACCTCACACCGACAACAAAGATTATTTATTATCTAAAGTCGCATGAAAATTGTTGTGTTTGCCCCTCGAACAACGACGACGATAAATCCTGAACCCTAAGAAGCAGAATAACGCAATGTTATTTAAATGACTAATAAAGGCACTACTAAAATACCCGAAATCCCAATGGGTTGTATTAGCTGAACACATCCTGTCACGAGAATAAAACTTAGCAAGACAGATAGATATTTGGACCTACTTAATGATGTACTCATACCAAAGCATATTTATTAAGTCCCCGCTCTTTAAATTTATTATAGCGGCGTGAAAAGTCTTACGCCCGGATGCTTGGATTGAACCAGTGACTAAACCGAAGACTTTGTGTCAACCTTTATTTGAGAATCCTCACATTGGAGCAGAATCTAGAGACTGGTTAAATGTTGCCACAACAACGGGCAACTTTGGTTGGAAATGGATCGAAAAAGGAATCATACGAATCGACGATCTGTGGGATAAAACAACAGGCTCGTTGATGATTAATCAAAAATTGCGAGATATTTTTTCAAATTCGCAATATGGAATAAAATAAATTATCTTTAATCAATGCGATTCCCCATATTTGGAAGGATCTATTGGATTCCACCTACTACCACCGCCCCCCAAGGGACGTGGTATATGACGGACCAACCTCAAGAAGCACATCAAATCTATAAACTAACAGACATTTGCCCAAATGGAAAACACATGTTCCAGGGGTGGTCAATTGCAAATAACTACCGGCAACCGAACATTACACCACAAGAATCGCAAGAAGAACATGAACATGAGATCCAACCAATGATTGGCACAACCTTTACCCAGATACGAGTTATTAAGTCAATGACAAACGATGGCTCTGTTACCGCTACCCTATTTGCCAAAGGGTAGCCTCTTTGACGGATAAAGTTAGACCCAATAAAGTGGGAGTGGCGAGCAACACATCAAGTAGTGTGAGGTGAAATTGAGAGAAGAATATAGCTTTAAAGAAAAAAAAAAACAAAAAAAAAACAAGCAGTGATGGCATATTGGATACGAAAGGTAACAAAGGCAAACAACACATCAAGAGGAATCTCCTTGTTTAAGAAGACATGGTGCTGCAATGGCACCATAGCCTCCATCTTAGTGGAAGGCAGTTTGGTACTGAAGAAGTGGCTATTTTGTTAGTTAGGTAGAAGGAACAACCTGTCCGCTCGGTCGCAATGGACCGGCAGTGGGGTTCTGGAAGGAGGGAGCGAGAGATGAAACATTCGACCGGAATCTCGAGTGGAGATATCCATCACTGCCTTAGGTGGTATGTAGGCCAATTAGCAGGTGTGGTAGAATAAGATATCATGGTTGTTTGAGGATAGGTATGAAACAATTATAATAGAAAGTAGTTCTGATTGGTATAGGAGTGCGTGACGGGCTTGAAGTGCCCTTTGTTTGAATGGTGATACGAACTCTGGCCGTATCTGTAGTCGACTTGGTAGTGAGAATAGACTCCTGGTAGGTGGGAGACATCGGGTTTTGGTCGTTTTGGTTCAAATTTTCTTTTAGAATTGTATGGCTTATAGGCCTTGGTGGCATTGTTTTTCTTTCCCTCCCAGGGTTGTGGAATATCAGGACAGAGGTCTAGGGTTGCCCACTATGTTCCTAGAAGAATTTCCCAACGCCTGAAGCGAAACTGGGTAATGCTCCCATACTTTTTCCGGGTTGATTGTTTAGGGATTCATTGTTATTTGAGCATAAATAAATAATGAAAGCCTGCAAAAGACCCCCTATTTTCAAAAAAACAAAGAAAAAAAGATGTAGGGTCCTTCTACTCGTGGTATGGTTCTATCGATGGCAGGACAGCAACAGACGAACGAATTCAATTCAACGGACGCCGAGCGAACCTCCCGAATGCCACATGGGGGCTTAGGGCCAGATCCCACTGGCAATGGCAAAGAGGATTGGAATGAGTGTCTGAATCTGGACGTGTTCGTCGCGAGGTGCAGAAAACTGTGATTGATCTGCTTTTCTGCATCACTGCGTGGAACACGTCCATACTCAGACACTTGTTCCAATCGTCCTTGCCAGTGGGATCTGGCCCTTACCAACTGAGCTACCGGTGGCGAGACCAGTACAACATCACGGGAACGCGCCGAAGACTGGGCACATGTAACACTTCAGAGCTTCCGGAGGGTTTTTCGGCCAAAGGGCGCGTTTCAATGGGGTTATTCGTCAAATTCCGCTGACCTTCGGCTCATCGCTGCTATCCCTTCTCGCTGTGCTTTGCATCTCTTCTCAGCAGAGAGGACGATGATATGGTGGTGTCTTTCTTTGGCCATTGCACTCGCCCGTGGACTGGGCATGGCTAGGTCAGCCTCGAGGATGGCGATGACGTGGCTGCGGCTCGTCAAACCGTGCTGACGGTCGAAGGAAGGAAGAAGGGGTAGCGGGAGGGCTTCTGCTCGTTTGAGAGGGAGAGGGATTGAGGTCGTGGTGGGCGATCGATGATGGAGGTAGACGGAAGCTGACAACAGAACACACAAAGCTTCGACTTTTTGTTTTTTTTTTAAACACAAAAACCACACCGTATTGGGGACTGGGGCTGGTGGAAGGGTATAGACTGAAGGAGGGGGGGTTACGAGCAGTTCAGTTTGAGAGTGATGAGCGGCAAATGAATCCGCTAGCCGGGCAGCCTGTTATCTGCGCACCCTTGCGCCGATCTGGAGGGTTGAGATTGAAGGAGGGGGTGTTACGGGGAGGTTGAGAGTGATGAGCGGCAAATGAATCCGGTAGCCGGGCAGCCTGTTATCTGTCCACCCTTGCGCCGATCTGGCCCATCTCTCGAGACAACCCTTGCCCCTTTGCAGGTTCCGGCAGGAAGGAGCCTACTGAAAATTGATAGGTCAAGTACCTACACTTGAGTATCGCGCCAGTGGAGGAGGGAAGTGGGTTGGAGCAGAAGCAGTAGGAGGAGGAGGAGGAGGAGGAGGAGGAGGAGGAGGACGGAGAATCAGGCCATGGGGTCGCCTAAGGCGGCGCGAATACGGAACCCTACGTCGAGGAGGATGATTTACCAGCTCATTTTGTTGTGCCTAGGGGTATCGGCAGTCTATGTCGTCGTATCGAAATTTGGAAGGACAGCGATTCCGAGTGCATCTGGTACAGTTGTTGTGCTTTCTTGCCCCTTTTTTCTCTCTCTTTCTACGTGTGTTCCTGTGGCCACTCGTTTGTGTGTATCTTCGTTTTCCCTTAATTTCCCCCCTCCCACTCTCCGCTGGTTTTCCTTTACCTGTTGCCGTCTCCTTTTTTGCCCTCCTCCGTCCGCCTCTACTGGATTAGACCTCTTTAGTGACGAATGGTTCTGCTAACTCTCTCGTACTGTCCGTTCAAGCTGGGGCGCTGGAGGCTCGCGCCGGGCGGTTTGTGCAATCACGTAGTCGGCGTTGGGCATTTTGTTTCCATTTACTCATCGTTGTCTTTCGGATGGGCTTCTCTGCCTCTTCAGCGCGACATGATGTGTCGAGGCTTGGGATCGACCCGAACGTGGTGAATAGAGAGAGAGAGAGAGAGAGAGAGAGAGAGAGAGAGAGAGAGAGAGAGAGAGAGAGAGAGAGAGAGAGAGAGAGATCTTGGGTTGTCCTTCTTGTTCATGTTCCAGTTTGCCTGAGGATTTCGCTGCAAAGAGAGAGAGAGAGAGAGAGAGAGAGAGAGAGAGAGAGAGAGAGAGAGAGAGAGAGAGATCTTGGGTTGTCCTTGTTCATGTTCCAGTTTGCCTGAGGATTTCGCTTCAGAGAGAGAGAGAGAGAGAGAGAGAGAGAGAGAGAGAGAGAGAGAGAGAGAGAGAGAGAGAGAAAATGTGGACTGACTATCTTTAAAGGGGGAGAGGGGTTTAGTTTCCATCTTTTGTATTTGAATTACGGCATCACCAGCAGAGACCAATAAGCTGACGACCTTTTTGTTGTCCTCTGTTGTACGTCGGCATCACTCAGCCGCCGCTATCGTCTTCACGCAGATATTGGAATGATCCGTTCTGCGAAGCCCGCCGCTATCGTCTTCACCCTAATAGAACCCCCGGTCATTAAAACTGTTTTTGGTGCAAATTTCGATCCAGATGCGGCGATAATTACCGGGCGTTCTACTTGGGTGAAGCCGCTACCGTCTTCCCCCGAACATAACGCACCCTGAAAATGAACGTATACAGTAAAAATGTGGGTGCGTTGTGTTCTGGGGAAGCCGCTAGTAGTACGATTAGGGCTAGAATCAGCGGTGCGCATCGATGCACACTGCACCTGGGAAGAATCGGGGAACCGATTCGTGTCGACTCTTTTTCTCATTTCTTGAAATTTATATAATTTATTGTGTCTAATTTTGTGCATGAATTAACGCTATATTCTTATGTATGTTTTAAAATTATTTACGTTCTTTTTATTTTTATTACTAGAAATTAAACTCGGCCATGTCATCTTTGTGCACTGCCTGCCGTTGCGATTGATTGTCAATTTCTCTTTTCGGATCGTTTAGTCGCCATCACTGCCCATCAGTCGTTGTGAGTCCAACATTCATCCATGAGAGAGGGGTCATGTGAGCTGCTTTCTGTGTCTCACCGACGAGCATAATAGCTCAGTGGGTACACCAACCATGAACCGTTGAAATACAGACCTGAGGTT